CACCTCTGAAATGTTTTGATTATTTGTTTTGTGGCTCATTACCCACTTAATGACAATAACATAAAAAATTAATTACTAACTTACATAGGCCTAAAATAAAGTCACAATATAATATCTCACGATATCACAACTGTAAACCTGGAACTAATGAAGTATAGCCTACTAGGTGTACTTACATAATTTGTAAACCATTTTGATATTTATGTCACCCAGTATTGTTCAAAGTCACATAGCTGGAGTAATCTTTCAACCATGCAGAATAAATTTCTGTTATATCCCTAGTTTTGAAACTTGTGTTTTATATGAGAAGCCAGTCACTTGTGGTGTACATGAATAATAAAACAGATTGACAAAATACCACTTAAGTTTACAAATAACAAATTTTATTAGTTTACAAAACTGTACATATACTTAACTAGATCTTGTACAGGTAGCATTCTGGTATTCATGGTTATATTATATGAACCTTTTGTGCTTTTGCTGCTGCAAATGCATCAATTAAACTATCAAAATTTAAGGTATTAAATATGTCTTTTTCAATACTTAATATTGCCAAGTTACTAAGTCATTCTTGAGTCATTGAGGTTCTCAAGTATGTAAGAATTAATTTCAGCTTGCTGAAAGACCTTTCACAACTAGCAATAGAAACCCCAACTGTTAAAAAAAATCTGCAATGCAATTCTTAAATTTTGGAAAACATCTTTACCATATGAAATTATAAATGTTAGCAAATCAGTTGCAACCATTGGTTCAGGAAAATCGGTTTGTGTTCTTTTACTTATCAACATTCTACAGTCTTTAATTTCTCTGTACAATTCTGGTTCATCAATATCCCCTGGATAGCTCTTTGCTAAGTCAGAAAATTTTTCTTGCACTTTCTGTCTTTGAAATCGGATGTCATACATGTAGATGAATAAAAAAGGCAACAAAAGCAGTATGCTGCTTTATGTAGAGGTGAATACACCAACCAGGAACGACTGACCTCTTATCCATTCAGAAGGCATCATTTGAACCAAAATGCAGTCATAGAATGCTAATCTTTGGCATCAAATGGACCTTCTTTATGTTGAAATGCATGTGTTCCTACTTTAACAATCTCTGTGAGATGTGCATGTGTTTCAACTGCTGAGCCTGTTGTATCAAACTTCATAAATCCAATATCCCTGTGTGTTAAAATATTTATTAGGTCATCCTCTTTTAGCTTAGCAACACTATTCTGTGGATTTGTTTCTGACAAAGTGGAATCCTCTTGTTTATTATTATTGTAGTGTTACGTCTCTGGTCGTTAGTTAATTTTCCGTATAATTTATTTCCGATGAAACTTTAGCGACACAAG